TGTGAAAAAAGGTCTTTCAAGCACGTATAAATAATAAGGAAATGAATTGATTGCTATTTTCTAATGTATCTTTCTTCAAAATATGACTTGTTTTTCAGCTTGCAGTCCAGAAATGCATTGTCCATTTGTGGATCTATTTGTTTATATATTATTAAACCCATATAACACCCACATTTTCACCCGTATTGCACCATTAGTACACCCATATCACAGTGTTATTACAACATTATTTCACCAGTATTACACCTTTTTTTACACTCATTTTACACCAAAAGAACACTAAAATAACATCAATATTATACCTTTTTTATAGCCATATTACTCCGTTATTGCACCGACAGAAAAAGACGGAAACGCAGATAATACACAAGATGTAAAAAAAACGACATGAATTAAACTCTCAACAGGTGAATGTACATATATACAGATATGTATAAAGGTTATATATACATGTACATGTGCAGGTAGCAGTGTGGTGGAAGTCTTGAGATATTATTAAGATGAATGTTCAGTGCAGGTTAGTTCTGACGGTTAACCCTTAGTTGTACAGCTTAACAGATTGTCCGACGGGAACACACTCGCCTTTTTTCTGTATCCTGAACACATGCAATCCCTAGGCCTGGTTCAGTTGTTGCTGCTTTGAGGTTGTGTTGACCGGACAGGTAGAGACACAACTGGGTCAGTGAGCTACGATGGAGGATAACACATCCCCACAGCTGTCTATGAGCTGCTGTCATGTCTCTGTTTTCTGAACCTGACAGACCCTCTTCTCCATCCTGATCAACTCATCTCTATTCGCTCGCAGCATCACAATCCAGCCTGGATATGCAGCCTGTCAGATACACTGTGTTTGTATGTCAGCGTGTGTGTGTGTGTGTGTGTGTGCGTGTGTGTGTGTGTGTGTGTGCGTGCGTGCGTGTGTGTGTGTGGCTAGCAGGCACAAAGCCAGCGTGACCCAACTTGGGCTTTTCAGCTTTAGTGCAGCGTGCAGACAGCTGTGCCACAAACACGCTGCTGTGTTTCACCGCGAGGGCCTTTTATTTAGGTCACATTCTGCGCTTCAGCGGCCAACAGAAGCGATCTCTGTCAAGTGCAATGAATACCTTTCCCTGGACACAACACACACACTTTTTAAAGAGCCCTAAGAGGAGTGTGTAGGGTGTAATGGATTAAAGGTGGGGTAGGTACATTTGAGAAACCGGCTCGAGATACACTTTTTGTTATATTCCATGGAATGCTCTTAACATCCCGATAGCAATGAATATCTGAAGTGCTTTGACAACAAATCCATAAAAACATTTCATCAGTGGAAGCCGTGGCGCTGTGAAAAGCACGACCAATCATCTGAGCCGGCTAAAGTAACTGGATGGCCTACCTGCCTGTCAGCCTTCCATCTGGGCACAAACTTATCTCGTGCCCTCATTGGTCATGTGTGTGTTTGTGTGTTGGAGGAAGGGGCTCTGTAAGGAAGGGGCAGATTCTTCCGGCTGTGTATTTTCAAATTCTAGCGCACTCGAGCTGGTTTCTCCAAAATGACCTACCCCACCTTTAAGTAATCAGGATACAAAGAAAACGGTATTCCCTTACAGTTACACAATTCAGGATTACAATGTTATTAAAACCTAAAAACATCATATAGTGTTTGTTGTAAAGGATCAGATGTTCTCTCTTCTCTGTAAGCTGTTCTGTAGGGTAATACTTTAAGAGTGAATCTACGTCTACTGCCTGAATCTGCTTCGTGGTTTTCACTTTCTTTGCTTCATTTGTTCTGTTTTAAGTCAGCAGGTGAACCTATATGTTCATAGAAGAGTGTGTGAGCTTGTTAAACTAAAACATTTCCTATCAGCTCAGATGTCATTCCTGCTTTTGTAAACTAGTATGCGTTCTGTTGTGAGTATATTATAAACTGGCCAACCTATAGTCTTTTAATTTCCCTCCTTTTTAATATATTGGCCTAATTCTCTCCCAGTGCGATTTGATCCTCTGCTTTTGCACAGACTTTGGAAGGAAATTGCATGAATAATTCCCCCTATTTTTCAATGAACCCAGCCACGTCTCCTCACTCTATATTCCTGCACATAAACGCCTCCTGCACACAGTGTCCTCTCGTTATGTAAAGAACATGTATTTCTCTGCTCCGTCTCCCTCATTGTCTCTTGTTATGTTCCCTATCCTCCATTATTTTATTTACCACAGTGGCCTTTGGTAGTGCGTTATAAATCGCAGTAATGAATTCCTCCACCAGTGTGCGTGGGTTTCTTCTTATTGTTGGACACAGTGAGGATTCAGGCCCCCCACAGATGGGTAAGGAAGGCAGTTTAAGGACCCTGATAGATGCCATTGTTTCCATGTCACCACATGAGGGGAAATGTTGTTTACTGCCGCTTGCCTCGACTTCCAGAAGCTGTCAGCTGGGTTTTACCGGTCAATTAGTTTGGAGGAAGCACACTGGAGGTACGGAGGGAGAAGAAGTGAGGCGTCGGGATGTTATCATACATCCACCGGATCTCTATCTGTGGATTGATATCACTGCAAATAGTCCCTCCTCCTTAGCAATGGTCTGTTATCGGCAGAGAGATGGCAAAAGTACACATCCTTTACTCAAGTAGAAGTACACATACTCGTGTTTTAAAATACTCTGGTGAAAGTAGAAGTACTGACTAAACTTCTTTCCTCAAGTGAAAGTAAAGAGGCTTTGAAATGTACTTCAGTAAAAAGTGCCCAAACTAGCAGCTGTTTTAAAGAGTACCTGACCTCCCTTTATATTAATAGAACAATAATGTCATTGTTAGCTAATGAATGTTTCCATGCTGAACAACGGCAACATGACAACGTTTCCATTGGTCCCTCTTCTTTAGAGAAGAGCAGGAAATGATGGATACACGGATCGTGTTCAAATCAATAGGCACGCAATGACTCTAAAGAATAATGATCACGCATCAAACACACATTCAGACTAAAGGAACCAGCTGTTTGGGAAATGAGAGAAGTAGAAAGTACAGGTATTTGAGTTCAACATGTAAGAAGTAGAAAGTACAGGTATTTGTGTTCAACATGTAAGAGGTAGAAAGTACAGGTATTTGAGTTCAACATGTAAGAAGTAGAAAGTACAGGTATTTGAGTTCAACATGTAAGAAGTAGAAAGTACAGGTATTTGGGTTCAACATGTGAGAAGTAGAAAGTACAGGTATTTGTGTTCAACATGTAAGAAGTAGAAAGTACAGGTATTTGTGTTCAACATGTAAGAAGTAGAAAGTACAGGTATTTGAGTTCAACATGTAAGAAGTAGAAAGTACAGGTATTAGAGTTCAACATGTAAGAAGTAGAAAGTACAGGTATTTGTGTTCAACATGTAAGAAGTCAAAGTAAAAAGTCGTCAGAAAAATAAATAGTGGAGTAAAGTACTGATACCAGAAACATCAAATCAAGTTTTATTTATATAGCACATTTATAAACGATTTTTGGTCGAGCCAAAGTGATGTATATATAATAAAAATAGCCTACAGTAGAGACACTTTACAGCAAATACAACAGCACAGATTGTTCAGAATATCAGTATGAGAAAAAACGACACCCTCTGTCCTTAGACCCTCTGTCCTCAGACCCTCTGTCCTTAGACCCTCACATCGTACAAGGAAAAACTTCCAGAGAAAACCCACAGTTTGAGGGGGAAATGGGAGAAACCTCAGGGAGAGCAACAGAGGAGGGATCCCTCTCCCAGGACGGACAGACGTGCAATAGATGCCGTGTGTAAATCGAAGAGGTAATACATTTTACAGCATATAGACAGAATGTTAGGAAATGCATGTGTCTATAATAAGAAGATGAATCCACAAGGATGTCATCTACAATCCTGAGGAAGCCATCAGGGAAGCAGCATGACGAGACCCAAGGCAGGACCGCAGAGACAGGTTCAGCCACGACCCGAAGTCCACGACTTAATCCAGAACTCAGGATAGAGGATCCAAGACACAGGACTACAGCAAGAGGATCAGCCTCGACTCCGGATCCCGGCGTAGATATAGATACAGAAACAAGAAAAAAGATTTGGCTGGGTTAATCGGAACAAGAGAATACACAGACACAGACAGACAGACAGACGGAAGAACAAGCACTCCCTTAGGATAGGTTGAGGGCAAAGGGTACCAAGTAAGAGAGTAAGAAACATAGGAGGAGAGGCACACTCAGGGAACAAGGTCCCCACTGGAGCCTTAGTTGGAAATTGATGAGAGATAGGGAGGTACGCTGTGTCTACGATGTACTTAACTACAGTAACAAAGTGTTTGTACTCCACTACTTCCCACCTCTGATTATCGACAATTAACAACCTCTAGAATGTCCGAATTGACCAATCAGAATCGAGTATTCAACTAAGCCGTGTATTAACCTCTGTTATGGCTGATTTCTCAAGAACTCTTTACACAACTTTTTCCATCAACATTAAGCTTCCTTGTGTCCTAAATATTACACTCTTACCATGACATAGTTGCATCCCGAGCAAACAGACAAAGACTCCTTCGATGTTCAATACCTTTGAACAAATATAGCACACACTCTTGAGCTAGGAATAGATTTGAACTCTACTTGATACCTTGTTTTGCCTCTTTCCTCTCTGCCTCCTTGATCCCCTCTCACTACTTCACTGAAAACTAGCAGAAAGAAAACATAGTGGAAGTGGAAGAGATGTAATGTCAGGGACCACATGCCAAGTGGCGGCTATATTTAGACATTCTCCTTTTTTAAGTTATGAAGGACTAGAAACTAGAAATTAGGTCCAAGTCATCAAGTTTTCTCATCTGTGAACGAGTGCCAAACAGCGTCTTCTTCAAATCAGAGCAGATGAAGAGCGGCTGTGAATGAGATATTTATAATTCTCTCTCTTCTTATTTGTTTGTCTGTTTATGCTTTTTGTTTTCTTTGCAGGTCCGCTGCAACTCCTACTATTTTAAAATCCAGGTTGAAGTCTAATATTTCCTTTCCTTTCCTTCCTCTGCAGCAGATCTAGATTCGGGGCCCGTGCAGACTTCCAGTTGCACGTCGTTCGGCCACCATGACGATGAAAGGCCTGTCTAATAGTCGCAGCCTCCACCACACGGTGACCTGCGACCCCTCCTACGACTCCATGACGCTCGGACGCTCCGACCGCCGCTCCTACTTCCTCAATAACCCCGGGGAGTCTCACCCTGCAGACCACCACCACCACCACCACAACAACAACAACCCTGGATTCCCCCAACGAAACTCTTTCCACTCCGAATGCGGCGCCTACCCGGATATTTCCAGCTGCACATTCCCCCGCAGACACTACAGCTCCAACCACGAGCTGAAGGAGGAGTGTGGAGCTCTGGTGCCTTACACTGGGCAAACTGGGAGCATTAAAGGGAGTGGAGGAGGAGGAAACAACAACAACCGGACCCCCGCCAATCTGTTGGAGCAGTTTGATCGTCAGGCACCGATGCAGCGTGAAGGATATCACACTTTACAGTATAAACGAACTGCGGTGGAGCATCAGCGCAGCGACAGCCCCGGGCGAATTCGACATCTCGTCCATTCTGTACAGAAGCTTTTCACCAAGTCTCACTCCTTAGAGGGGCCTTCAGGAGGAGGAGGAGGAATAGGAGGAGGAAGTGGAAAGATGAACGGCAGCAAATCCAGCCCTGACGACCCGCCGTCCTCCTCTTCTGGCACTCTGAAACACAGCAAGCGCAGTAAAAGCAAAGATCGATCCAAGTCTGAGCCCAAAATGCGCTCCGCCATCTCCGGATACTGGAGTTCAGACGACACTCTGGACCACGAGATGTGTCTCTATCATCATCATCATCATGGAGGAAATGGAGGAGGACGTCCATCGGGGGTCATGACTATGGGGCGTCACCCGGAGAAATCGCAGTCCCAATACTTCATGGAGTCCTACAACACCATCAGCGCTCACTCTCTGAAGACGTCGCGCAGCAACAACGATGTGAAGTGCTCCACGTGTGCAGGAGGAGGAGGGGGAGGTTTGCAACTTGTCGGCCCGTTGGAGGGTCAAGTGCAGCTGAGGAAGAGCTCGTGGTCGTCCACTCTGACGGTGAGCAGAGCGAGGGAGGTCTACCAAAAGGCCTCGGTCAACCTAGATAAAGCTCTAGTGAAAGCTGAGCAGGGGCGCACCTGCCACTTCCTACAGGTAGGACGGTTATTAAGACACCTTTTGCACGTCATCATGCATCCAGCAGAAAGAACTCATCCTCCATGCTTCTGGTTCTCCATTTCATTCTCAACAAGTTATTGCTCTCATGTTGACTTTAACCCAAGGGGTGTCCACACTCTTTTCACCGAGGGCCACACACAGAAACATATACGAAGGGCAGGGCTACTCACTAGACCAGTGTTTCTCAAGCCTTTTCATACCAAGGACTTAACCAATGAAAAAACACTCGCGGACCACCTAACTCCACAAATATCCAAAATCACATCGTTTTTCTAGAACAGATTACAAATCGTCTGAAAATGATACAAACAAGTGGTAACATGTTTGATGAAGGTGATGCGCTGGGCTATATCATACAATCAAAAGTGAAACTTAAGCTCGCTCCATTGCGGAGATATTCCCGCGAGAGTGCGTAAAACTTTAATTTATTTAAAATGTGAAATTGTACCAATATACTCATGGACCACTAGGGGGCGCTCACGGACCACCAGTGGTCCGCGGACCACACTTTGAGAAGCACTGCACTAAAAGTATATCGCCTCAAAAGTTCAGGTATAAGTTGGAAAAATCAATCCAATGTAGGTAAATTATACTTGAACTCACATCTCAGCTCTCCAGAGGGTTCATTCATTTTGTTAGCAGCTCATTCCTTAAAACAGAAGCTTCAGATTGCTGATAATAAGAGGACATGTTTTCAACTTAAATTGACTGAATTTATTTTTGATTATCACATGAATATATTTGAACATATATATTTAAGGAGCACAATATAAGACAAGCAGAGATGTATTTATCTACTTGTTGAATTTGTTGAGCGAGGGCCGATTCAAAATGGTCCGCGGGCCGCATTTGGAACCCAGGCCGTAGTTTGGACACCCCTGCTTTAACCCATCAAAAAAAAAAAAATCATCACATGTCACCTGTTCCTCGTGTTTGTTACCATGTGCATGGAAAGTGTTCATATGTTAGCGTGTGGATGTGATGCTATCACTCCTTGTACTGCACTGATCATTTTGAGGGGGTTGTGCAGAAAGATCATTTTAAATCCATGTACTATGACAAAGATCCATCTTTACACTCAAGCACAGGAAAGCCGATCAGATAGGATTTTTTCAGGGAATAAATGTCACATGGAATAACATTGATACAGTGTCCGCTTTTAGTAAGCGTTGCACATTTTTCGTCAAGTTGGTGAAAATGTTTCCTCTTGTGTTTTGGCACATTTGTGTTTTTATATTTGCACCTTTCTGAAGCAGCAGCGTGTTCCTCCTGATGGAAATGTTTTGGGCCGTGTTTGCACCCGCCAGCCACCGTACATTCATGAAGACCTTACTGGTAGTTTCATTGTTGTGTGTGAGAATGAGAATATATTATCCAGTAGAGTGCTGTTTTGGCTCTCTACTCTCAGAGTATCACACAAAGCATTGAAAGTGGACACACACACACACACACACACACACACACACACACACACACACACACACACGTCATCCTACTCGCTGCTTTTGTCTGTTTTGGGAAAGATAAAAGTGTGTTCAGATTGGGTGAGTTTCAAATATACGCGTGAGGAGAGAAATGGCGAGAAAAGGCAGCGATAATAGAAGGGGAAGTGTGTGTGTGTGTGTGTGTGGCCTAGCATTACTATACTTGTGGGGACCTAAATCTGATTACAAAGTCACGTGTGGGGTCTCGCCTCCCTTATGGGGACAAATTGGAGGTCCCCATGTAATCAGTCATTTTAGGGTGAAGACTTGGTTAGGGTTAGGATTAGGGTTAGGCATGTGTTGGTTATGGTTAAGGTTAGGATAAGTCTCCAGGAAATGCATGTAAGTCAATGTAATGTCCCCTGAAGTGATGTATACATGGTATGTGTGTGTGTGTGTGTGTGTGTGTGTGTGTGTGTGTGTGTGTGTGTGTGTGTGTGTGTGTGTGTGTGTGTGTGTGTGTGTGTGTGTGTGTGTGTGTGTGTGTGTGTGTTGTGTGTGTGTGTGTGTGTGTGTGTGTGTGTGTGTGTGTGTGTGTGTGTGTGTGTGTGTGTGTGTGTGTGTGTTGTGTGTGTGTGTGTGTGTGTGTGTGTGTGTGTGTGTGTGTGTGTGTGTGTGTGTATGCAACAGAGAGGGGTATCAATGGGGAAAGTAAAAGGCAGAAAGTGAGAGAATAAAAGAAGTTGTGTGTGGCCTTGCATTTTAAAAAGACTGAAGAAGTGGAGCAAGTCGATGAAGGAAGGATGTAGGACAGACACATTTCTCCCAGTCTGAAAGAGACATAGCTGTTTCTTCAAAGGGAGGCGGAAGGAAAACAACTGGCTTTCAAAGAGAAGTTAGTCTGCAAACGTTTTTCTAACAACCTACTGAAGAAATCCTGTAATCCATATGTGATGTACACACACATGGAGAAAGTACTCGGCTCCTGTACTTAAAGGTGGGGTAGGTACGTTTGAGAAACCGGCTCGAGCATAGCCGCGGGAAGTAGGGGTGCTGGGGGTGCTGCAGCACCCCTTGTTGGCGAGTGGTGTACATTTGAAAAACTGAGTGACCACCTAAATAAAAATGATTAAACTACATAAAATAGTTATGATTTTACTTAAAATAAAATTAGCTGTATACAGTAGCATATAATAGTCATAGTATATATTTGTATATATCAGGTGGCTTGAATTTATTTTCCAAATAAGTAAAATCCGAGTCATCTAGGTCGTAGGTCTTGGGAGAGTGACGTAATTGACGTGACACACACACTACAGAGTGACAACTTTCTAGAATGGAGCAAAAAAGGATTTTGGATTTATTTCTCCAACAAACAACCCAATAAAAAGAGTGGACCACCAGCTAAAAAACTCATTTTGAGAAAACGACCTTTAAAGATTGCAGTGAGGCGCTAGCTAAACCCTCTGTTCTTTGGATGACAGCTTGCGCATCGACGCACTCCGTGAAGGTATTTCATGTTCGGGGTCATTTGTGTTTTGTATAACCTTGCTTCGTGCAAGTGACAATTGTTGTCGTCTTCTCTGTGAACGTTTTTTTCGCCGTTCTTTTGCCATTTTGAGATTTACATTTCTAGCGGAAAGCTAATCAGGAAGTGTTTTAGCACACCACGTGATGCATCTGAACGAATCACGTTGTCAGAAATTGACACCAGCCAATGAGGTTGCTGATACAAAGGAAATGACCATATTTGGATCCGATGAGATTGTGCAGGAGAGACGGAGCTTTCCAGCGATGACATTGTGCAAACAGCGGTCGCGGTACTTTATGTTACGTTAGAAATGCTAACTTTTGGTGAATTTAGGAGAAATATACAGATGCAAATAGACAAACTATAGTAAAATGAACACTTAAATGTGTATTTTGTACGTTTTCCTTCCAAAAGCCTGAAAGAAAACATGTTATGGAATCAAAATAGCACAACATCTAAAAATGTACCAGTGCATGAAAAACGATGTTTTTGCCTGCCGTGTCTCGCCTTTAACAAACAATGTATGCGGCTCGTATCGCTGACAGCCGGGCCCGGCCCGGCACCGCCTTTTAAAAAAAAATGTAAATGGCTCCTCCCCACTTTTGGCAGCACCCCCTGAGCAAAATGACTTCCCGCGGCTATGGGCTCGAGATACACTTGTTGTTATATTCCATGGAATGCTCTTAACATCCCGATAGCAATGAATATTTGAAGTGCTTTGACAACAAATCCATAAAACATGTCATCAGTGGAAGCCGTAGTACTGTAAAGAGCACGACCAATCATCTGAGCCGGCCCGGCTAAAGTAACTGGATGGCCTACCTGCCTGTCAGCCTACCATCGGGGCACAAATTTACCTCGTGCCCTCATTGGTCATGTGCGCGTTCGTGTGTGTTGGAGGAGGGGCTCTGTGAGGAAGTGGCAGATTTTTTCCGGCTGTGTATTTTCAAATTCTAGCGCACTCGAGCTGGTTTCTCCAAAATGACCTACCCCACCTTTGAGTAAAAGTAGAGATAATATGTTCTGAAAAACCTCCATTACAGGTAAAA